GAGAAGTCAAAAAATAACGATCATACCTCTGTGATAGAAGTGGGGATGCATTTCAATGATCTGTCCGAAGGTATTTCAAATTACATGGTAAGACTACAGTGCTACAATCGCTGCCAACCAGCACGCAATCGCCTACTCCGGCCTTCCCAATCCGGATGGACATATCACGTTTGGCCAAACCACCGAGACTGATACAGATGCCCAGGTATACTAATTTACCCACCATAATAATCGACTCACACATCAACCTGAGTGTAGAGTTCGAGTCCACCCAGGCTTTGAGCAGTACTCTACAATTTGCAGGTGTAAAGCACATGTCAGACCGTAAGACTAAGCTTTCCGCAAGGCTACTGCATATCACATTAACACATAGCTGCAGGCTAATGTCCCGCAAGAAGCACGCCGCGAGGGAAATCACTGTAAAGAGACAATGTCAGTGCTGATTTTTTGGTAATTTTTTTCTGTAAAGGTGATGTGTTTTTTTTCACAATGGACGTTATTGCCGGAAGTGTAGTCCCACCCAGAATAGCAAAATATGTCTGAGAATTCCCATTTTCGGTAATGGACCTGCTCCCCGAATTAATAAAGGCAAACACACAGTCATGATGAAGCCGGTGTTAACTTGACTCATGCATAGTTGTTTTTAGGGTCTCCTGCAAGAAGTCTCATGAAGAATTGGTTCGAACAGACTTGCGCCCATGAAGATATAGGAGGAATAAGTAATTTATTCGAATATACACTCATTTGAAAACCAATTTGGTTTTTGCGAGAGACTCACCTGAAACCCAGCCGAATCTCTCGTTTGTGGTATTTCCAGGTGACCGAATGTGCTACGCCAGGCCACTCCGGTTTCAGTCGCTACGATATTCGAGATATCGCGATACATTTATATTTTTGTAATGCACTACTCATAAGGATACTGCAAAACCTAATTTCTTTACTGATGAGTGTATTTCGCCAATTTCGTGCAATTTGGTTTCAAGTAGAACATAAGGTTGGCGGAAACTCGGGGACTGTGCCTACCTGATGAGCTCCAAGAAAGGCGAATCCTGTCGTGGGCAACTTTATAAGTAGTGCATTACAAATGTCATTTATTCCTTCATTAACAAACTAGATAAGTTCTGTTGTACGAACTGCATTGAAATACTCATGACCGTTTGCCGCATGCATTGAAAGAAGTATACATTTTTACGATCTACAATCGTTATCAAGAGATTAAGCGTTCTATTAGCCACCCATTTCGGTCTTCGTAAAAGATCATCTGCAGACACAAAGAACACAGTTAAAATCGATATAATCCAAGGCGAAATATTTCCATCACCTTTTTTTGTATAGCAACAGCTGGGTGATTCCAGTTTACTCGTTCAACGGTAATCCATAAGCTGGTACGCAGGTACGTTTGCAATCGATTGTCTCTGGTTTCATCACAGTGAAATTTGTTCATCATCCATTGTACTTTCGTCTCTGATTTCCACGCTGTCAGGAAGAATGTGATGTAGAGTGGAAATTTGCAAGGATGCAATTGTGGTTGAACTACATTGACAACGGTAGTACATTGCCCGCCCCTTTCAACGTGCTTCCCACACCCCATAGACTGACCAACGCACTGCGGTTTATACGGAATTTTTTCAACGACGATTCTCGATTTTTCAATGGGAACACGAGGAGCACTGCATTTGTAAAAGTAAGTCCATACCGAATACCAAAGCGGAGGCAAATTGTCAATTCTGTGTTGATATACGATTTTCTATGCTTTCTCCGAAGTGTGCCAAACCCCTTTCTCCGTCTCTCGCGCTGTGTGAAACATTGCTGAAGAGCACTTGACATCTACTGACCGTCCTCAAATAAAATCCATTAGACTACAAGATTTTTACCTCTAATACTATTCGC